CTACTACATTTCCCAGAATCCTCTTTGACTCCTAGTTCCATCTAACTTGCTGTCTCATTGGTCAAACAGTATTTTATTCAATAATCAGTAAGATAAACATACACAGTAGTACATTCCCCATCAAGGGTATTTAAGGGAGTCTCACTATTATTTCTTAGATTGCTAGTTGGGGTCATCCTTGTAGATCTCTGGACATTTCCCTAGTGCCAGATTTCTTTTGAACCTATAATGGCTCCCTCTATTATGGTATCTCTTTTCTTGCTCTCCTCTATATTTCCCCTGACTCAATCTTCCTGCTCCCTCATGTCCTTCTCTCCCTTCCTGTTCTCCCCTACTCTTTCTACTAATTTACTCTCCCCTCCCTCCCCCCACCCCATGTTCCCAATTTGCTCAGGAGCTCTTGTCCCTTTCCCCTTCTCTGGGGGGGGGGGTCCATGTATGTCTCTCTTAGGGTCCTTTTTGTATCCTAGATTCTCTGGAGGTGTGGATTGTAGATTGGTAATCCTTTGCTCTATGTCTCAAATCCATATATGAGTGAGTACATACCAAGTTTGTCTTTTTGTGAACTGGGTTACCCCACTCACGATGGTTTCTTCTAGTTCCATCCATTTTCCCGGGAATTTCAAAATTCCATTGTTTTTTTTCTGCTGAGTAGGACGCCACATTTTTTTTTTATCCATTCTTCAGTTGAGGGGCATCTAGGTTGCTTCCAGGTTATGGCTATTCAAAATAATGCTGCTATGAACATAGTTGAACAGATGTCCTTGTTGCATGAATGTGCATCATTTGGGTATATGCCTAGGAGTGGAATTGTTGGAACTTGTGGTAGACTGATCCCCATTTTCCTGAGGAACTGTCACACTGATTTTCAAAGTGGTTGTATGAGTTGGCACTCCCACCAGCAGTGGAAAAGTGTTCCTCTTTCTCCTCATACTCTCCGGCATAAACTGTCATTGGTGTTTTTGATTTTAGCACTCTGACAGGAGCAAGATGGTATCTCAGAGTTGTTTAATTGGCATTTCACTGATGGCTAAGGATATTGAGTACTTTCTTAGTGCATGTCAGTTATTGTAGACTCCTCTATTGGAATTCTCTATTTAGTTCTGTACCCCACTTTTTGATTGGATTATTTGGTGTTTTGGTGACTAGCTTCTTGAGTCCTTTTCATATTTTGGAAATCAGCCCTCTGTAAGATGTGGGGTTGGTGAAGATCTTTTTCCATTCTGTGGGCTGCCATTTTGTCTTGTTGACGTTGTCCTTTGCCTTACAGAAATTTCTCAGTTTCAGGAGGTCCCATTTATTAATTGTGGATCTCAGTGTCTGTGCTACTGGTGTTTTGTTCCGGAAGTGGTCTCCTGTACCAATTCATTTGAGGGTACCACCTAACTTCTCTTCTAAGAGGCTCAGTGTGGCTGAATTTATGTTGAGGTCTTTTATCTGCTTGGATTTAAATCTTGTGCATGACATTAGACATGGAAGTATCTGCAGTCTTCTACACGCCAGCATCCATTTATGCAAGAACCATTTGTTGAAGATGCTTTCATTTTTCCATTATATAACTTTAGCTTCTTTGTCAAAAATCAGGTGTTCGTAGGTCTATGGGTCCATATCAGTGGTTTCAATTCAATTCCATTGGTCTACCTGTCTATTTTTGTGCCAATACCAAGATGTTTTCAAAACTATAGCTCTATAAGAGATCTTGAAGTCCAGAATGGTGATGCCTCCAGACATTCCTTTATTGTACAAGGTTGTTTTGGCTATCCTGGGTCTTTTTTTCATATAAAGTTGAGCATTGTTCTTTCAATTATTGTGAAGAATTGTGTTGGGATTTTGATGGGGATTGCATTGAATCTGTAGATTGCTTTTGGCAAGATTGCCATTTTTACTATGTTGATCCTACCTATCCAAGAACATGGGAGATCGTTCCATTTTCTGGTATCTTCTTTAATCTCTTTCTTTAAAGACTCAAAGTTCTTGTTATACAGATATTTCACTTGTTTGGTTAGCATTACCCCAAGGTATTTTATGTTGTTTGTGGCTATTGTAAAGGGTGATGTTTCTCTGATTTCTTTCTCAGCCCATTTGTTGTCTGTATATAGTAGGGCTACTGATTTTTAGTTAATCTTGTACCCTACCACTTTGCTGAAGGTGTTTATCAGCTGTAGGAGCTCTCTGGTAGAGTTTTTTGGGTTTCTTATGTAAACTATCATATCATCTGCAAATAGTAAATGTTTGACTTCTTCCTTTCCAATTTGTATCCCCCGATCTCCTTTTGTTGTCTTATTGCTCTAGCTAGAACTTCAAGGACAATATTGAAAAGGTATGGAGAGAGTGGACAGCCTTGTCTTGTCCCTGATTTTAGAGGAATAGCTTTGAGTTTCTCTCCATTTAGTTTGATGTTGACTGTTGGTTTGCTGTATATTGTTTTTATTATCTTTAGATATGTTCCTGTTATCCCTGATTTCTCCAAGACCTTTATCATGAAAGGGTGTTGGATTTTTGACTGACACTTTCTTAAATGAGTATAATTCCCATTTTCATCATATATATATATATATATATATATATATATATATATATGCTCTCAAAGACGTGTTTCCAAAATAGTGCTTTAATTAATTGTTTGAGATTTTTTTATAATGTTCATATTCTGATCATATTCACTTTCCACTCTTACATCAAGTCATCCTACCTCTTGTCCCTAACCACTACATTACATGTTCTTGCCATTTTTTTTCTTTTGGAATAGAATATATCACAGAAGATGTCTTGGACCTTTGACTCTTAGTATCTTTTGCCTTCTCTTCTGAGATGTTCCTGGAGTTATAGGCATTGGAGATGTGTTGTATACGTGGAGTGCAAGGGACAAGGATATTAAAGGGGGGAGAGTATAGGGTAGAAATGTTGCAAATATAGTACTCATACATGGACTTTTTGACAAAATAATAGTCAAATAGTGGTTGGGGCTGATCATAGGACACTCAGTTGTTCTCTGTATTTTGACCACTTGTGGATTTCTGTAACAGTCTCTGTGTGCTGCAAAAAGGAGTTTCTTTGATGAGGGATGGTGGTGGAATTTAAAAAAAAAAAACATAAACTAGTATAAACACTAGCCAAAGAAACTTCTTTTGGCAGCAAATGGAGACCATCATAGAGATTTACAACTCTTCAGAGAACAGAATGCACATAAAAGAACATCTGACCACAGGATACCAATCCCCAACTGATAGATCTACAACACAACCCTGTGGGTCAGGGAACATCTCTGAAGAAGGGCAGAGAGATTGTAAGAACCACAGAACAGCAAGGTTAGAAGTGAAATAATGCTTTCTCTATATGACAGGGAAGCTGCACTCAAGACATCATAACTACATGGTGGTCTAATGGTGGTTATTGGCCAAGACCTGGCCAATAAACGATACTAATTGACATTCCTACATGGATGAGGGAAATCTCAAAGGGCTTCATCCATACATGAAGAGTTATAGGCAATTAATGGCAGCTAAAATAGGGATAATCCATCTTCTCCAGGTATTAGCCCCTCACAGGTTTTTCAATCCCAAGCATTCAATTATAAATGCATACACATATGAGCAATAGTAAATGGACGGATCAGACGGTATGCATGCTTGTTTGTCTGCAAGTGTAGGTGTGAGCTTGTCTGTGTCTTTTCTAAAGAAGAGGTAATAAATTTGAGAGGGAGAGGGAGGAACAAGGAATTTAAAGAGGAATGGAAATGGGGTGGAAAAGATATAACGCAGTACTATACGAAATCTCAAAATAATAAAAATAAAGGATCTGAAGTGGGTATAGAGAGGTGGGAGTGGATGGAAGAGAAGAAAGTGGGAGAGGTGGGTATCACAAAGTACATTTATTAAATTAGCAAACAATTGGCAAAGATATTTAAAAAGAATGTTAGCTATTACTGTTCAGTGCCTGAGGAATTAATTAGTAAATCTATACAAGACTGAAAAGAGCTTAGTAATTAATAAGAAATTACTTTAAAATCTCTCTGGAAAGCATTCAAACTCAATCACAACTCAGGAAATAAATTACCATTAGTTTCATTACATATTTATTTATAGGTCGAAGAAACCTAAGGGCACAAGAAAATACTCAACTTTTTTTTTTTTTAAGTTCTGTTCAAGATCTCCTGAGCAAATCTGGAGCATGGGGGCAGGGAAGAGGAAATTAGGAGAATGAGAAGGGGAGAAGAGGAGGGGTGAGGAAGACATGATGGGGCAGGGAGGTTGACTTGGGGGAAGAACAGAAGAGAGCAAGATGAGCGATAATATAATAGAAGACATTATAGGTTTAAAGAGAAATCAGGCACTAGGGAAATGTCTGGAGAGCTACAAAGATGACACCAACTAACAATCTAAGCAACAGAGTAGAGGCTAACTTAAATGCCCTCTCCTGATAATGAGCATGATGACTAATTCATATGCCATTGTATAGCCTTCACCCAGCAGCTGGTGGGAGTAGAAGCAGACACACACAGCTAAACACTGAACAAAACTGAAATCCAGTGGCAGAGAGGGAGGAGTGTTGTGCAAAGGGGTCCATACCAGGCTGGTGAAACCCACAGAAACAGCTGACCTGACAAGGGAGAGCCCTTGGTCCCCAGACTGATAGCTGGGAAACCAGCACGGGACTAATCCAGACCCCCTGAATGTAGGTGTCAGTGAGGAGATCTTGGAAATCTATGGGACCTCTTGTAGTGGATCAATACTTATCCCTAGCATAGGAATGAACTTTGGGAGCCCATCCCACATGGAGGGATACTCCCTGAGCCTAGACACAAGGCGGTTTACCTAGGCCCTATCCCAAAGAATAAGACAGATTTTGAAGACCCCCATGGAAGGCCTTACCTTCGCTGGGGAGCAGAAAGGGTATGGGATAGATAGGGTGTTAGTTGGGGGGGGGCAGGGGAGAAGGGGAGGGAGAAGGACCTGGGGTTGACATGTAAAATTTTTTTTTCTAATTAAAATAAAAAAGAATAAAATGAAAAAAGTTTTGTTTATCTTTTTAGTTAAGGTGGTTAATTTCATACAATAAATTCCATTATGAGATACAGGAATTGCACAAATTACATTACATTAAAATATGACACCTTATTATATTAAGGAATTTTCAGTTAGAGATATATTAGTATCACAAACACTAAAATATGCAACAGAAATGTAAAGTACCTGACCTGCACTATCAATGTAAGGCCAGGGTGGGTAAAATGACAAGTTCATACACAAGCTCTCTTAATCTGGTTTATATGCAATATATAAGTAAGTACTACAGAAAGCAGGTGTGTCTAGTTACTATTTGAGTTGCATTTTAAAATATAAGGTATTTATTATTTTAGAAAACAGTTCATATATCTTAATTTTTTATAAAAATGAACAATGGCAAGTAAAGAATTTTTACAAATAATGTAGTAAAACAATCTTTATCATAAAAAGGTTAGTATAAGTAAAAGTGAAGCACCTGTCATTTATTTCAAAAAGAGCTATCAGCTAAGACTCTTCTCTCAGGATAACCCAACCTAAGAACATTTAATCTTCATTAAATAAGCTCTAAAAGAATACATCCATGAAAGAACACAGTCCACGTGCCAAGATGAGAGACTCACTAATTATTATATTCACACATACACCATCCTTGGTACATACAAGTGCTCAGCTGATCCTCCATAGTGTTCGTTGACAATCTGGGGAGAATTTGAAGGCAACATATTTACTGTGTTTTCCTATTGTTTGTTTGTAAAGAGTTGTTTGACATGGAATGCAGTAAAGCAATGGTAAACAATGATAAGATTTATACATTCAGTTTTTATAAACTGTTTGTCATTATAAACATCCTGGTCATTAGACTGGTTTTGAAAAAGTGTCATGTGAGATACAAAGATACAATACATAATCCTAGACTTCTGGATAAAAATTCAGATCGAAAGTGTCTGTGATGCTAAATGTGCCAAGTAAGTAAATGTCCAAAGTTAGTACTCAAGCACCAAAGCCCTAAGATGTGAAGATCTTATTTGGTTGTGGCTCTGGCCAACTTTCCCTAGTAGCCTCATCCTGCCTTCATGAATAGTTAGCTTCAAATTATGCAGCTGAAGAGATGAAGACATACTTGTGGCAAGTAAAAACTGAAGCATAAAACACACTTTCTTTTGTAATAAAGTCAAATTCCCCACAGAGAACTTCATGAACTTTTATGAATGTTGCAGAACACACTTCTGATACATGCCCACAAGAAGTATTTTCTTTGCTTGTTAAAGCACGTTATTTCTGTGTGCCTTTTGAGTCCTAAAGACGACGATTAATTGTGAAAGTCCTGTCACCTGGAATCAAGTTTGCCCTCTTGACAAAGAAGAGAGGGACAGACAGACACAGAAGATGTGTTACTGCCTGTTAAGTTGAGAACTAAGGGCTTCATTTTTCCATAGCTCATGTGCTGTTTGTTTATTGCTTGCACTGTTTATGTTTACTTGGCTAATAGTGTCCCAAGAATCCAAATACTCGACTGGGACATGTGTCCTGACTGCATCTTTGAACTTATACCAGTGAAAGCAATGTTCAAGCCAGATAAAGATACTTGCAAATAACTGAAGGCTGGCTGTGAGCCCAACGCACATTTCTCTAATTTTGTTTTCAACTGGTTCTTTGCTTGATCCCTCTATCTTGATGAACGCCGTGTAGGAGTCCTTTCAAAGTACATGAAGTCCTGAAATTGGAAAGGGTATTATATTTAGATTGAGAAATGAATGACAGATAGAAATAATTATATTAATGCATATAATATATTTCCTTTGTAATTTATCATGAGAGCATCGTATTCCAGTAAAAAAAAATAAATCTAAAACATTCATGAGCACGACTAATGTATGAGAATGCAAGTGGATCATATGCTTTTCATAGTGAGCATTTTTATCATTAACTGAAGGAGAACCTTAGTAAAACTTAGGATGATGTAACACTAATGAGCATGATTGCAGTTGACTGGAAAGAGGAAAGGGGCAGCTGCTCTGTAGTTATTTTATTACATTAATTATCATGGGACAGCTGTTTTGAAGTAGTGAGAAAATAACTAATAGGAAATGATGATTACTGCGTCCACTGTCTGTATGACACCTTCCAGGTGTGTCCAGCAGCCTTTACCCAGTTAAGATTCGTCACTCTGCAATGCCATTATTTTTCTCCCTGCTACAAATGAGTAAATCTAGGTACCAAGTGCCAACCTGTGCCTAGAGGTGGCACAGACAGAAGCTAGCTAAGTTTCAAAATGAATTTTCTTCTAAAAAATACTGCTCATCAGAAGAAATGGGCCCACAGTGTAAGGCTTACAATGAGGAAGCAAGTGCCGAAAATCATCGCTTTCATCGTCACATCCAGGTCCAAAGGGAAGCGAATCTCAAAGTGGTCAGCATCTCCCATTGTTGATAGAAAGCCATTCCACTTTCTGATAATACTGCCGATGTTAGATGCTCCATCTAGAGAGTTGACCTGCAATGCCAAGAGTGGGACTTTAGGATGGCTGAAAAGCATAAAGGGACATGTGTATGTCTTCTTAGAAGCAGTTTGTGATATGATAATATAGAATACCGGAAAAAACACTAATGACATAATTTCAAATGAGGACCCCTAAGATTAAGTGTCCTGAAACTTTGTGTAACTGAGCTGGGATGTATCTTAAAACCCTCAGTCTTGTGACTTTTCCTCACTCTTAAATACATCTTCTGGGGACTTTGTCAGAAGGTATGGTTTGTATTGATGATTAAATTCATTTACGTAGCAGAGGGTGATAATTTGGGGATGGGAAACCATTTCCAACCAAGGAAACCTCCAAACAAAACTAAGGGGTAATACTATACAGTGAACACCACTCAAGCCCCTGTGGGCCAAATCTACCCTTCTGAGTGTATCTATGTATAAGAATGGGTTCCAACTTCTAAAAGAGGGGCCCTGACATTTGACAGTAGAAATACCTCATACATAGCTTCTAAAGTCCCTCTGTAATGAAATGATCACACACAATCTGCACTGGAAATCTGGTTTGCTGACATTTTCTATACAACTTTTTTTTTTCCAAAGAATTTTTTTTTTAGTTCAAATTAGAAACAAGCCTGTTTCACATGTTAATCCCTTCTCCCTCTCCCTCCCCTCTTCCCCCACCAGCTCCCTACACCATCCCCCCTCTGCTCCCCAGGGGGGTAAGGCCCTCCATGGGGATCCCCAAAGTCTGTCATACCATCTTGGGCAGGACTAGGCCCTCCCCAATGTGTCCAGGCTGAGAAAGCATCCCTCCACATGGAATGGGCTCCCAAAGTCCTTTCTTCGGCCAGGGATAAATACTGATCTACTACCAGGGGCCCCATAGAGTGCTGAGGCCTCCTCATTGACATCAATGTTCAGGGGTCTGGATCAGTTCTGTGCTAGCCACCCAGACAGCAGTCTGGGGTCCATGGGCTCCCCCTTGTTCAGGTCAGCTGTTTCTGTGGGTTTCACCTGTCCAGTCTTGACTCTTAATAAGTGAGGCATGTTTCATTACATGATGACATAAAATAAAAGCTAGAAAGCTTTTTGTGTCATAGGAAGCAGGAGAGGGAATAAGTTTAGTGTATGTCAAGCCTCATCCTGTTAAAAGGCTTTGAGAAACCCTCCCAAACCTCAAGACTTTTATTTTAACAATTTCTTTGGCAGTCCCTGGGAAAAATGCAAAAGGCAAGAACAAACAAACAAACAAACAAACAAACAAACACAAAACCACTCTTTTTAATTTTTTCACATATTTTTCCTTTTATGAAAAAAATTTTAAATTGAGCTATGCATTTTCTCCATTCCCCTACCCTCCTCCTCTCTGCCCTTCCACCCTATTCCCTGCTCCCCCACATTCCCAGTTTACTCAGGAGATCTGTATTCCCCCCTTCCTAGGCAGATGTCTCTCTCAGGGTCTTCTTTGTTACCTAGGTTCTCTAGGGTTGTATCCTGTAGGCTGGTATCCCTTTTCTTTATTAGACCACTCTGTTTTGAGAAAATATTATAATACAACCCAGTCATTCATTATATCCATGCCCTTATGAATTCCTTAAGTACTGGGGTTTGCTAGATTTTTACATATAAAACCTATATTCCCATTTTAGAAATCATTGGGGAGAAATATATATATATATATATATTCAATTATTGATCCAATCAGGCTGTTTACTCCCAAAAGTTTAATGTTCTAAATTGGAAAAAAAATGTTTTAAAAAGGCAGCGCCACTCACATTGTGGAAAATATCAAGTAACCATGAGAAACCAAGTGAACACGTGCAATTAACTCTTTCTTCGTACCATTTGACTCATTCATGTGAAAAACTGGTTAAGACAAGAAGAATGGTTTGAAATCATAATGGAAAATGTAGAAGCAAAATTTCTATATATATATATATATATATATATATATATAGAGAGAGAGAGAGACTCTCATCACATTCTCTTTCTTCTGATTTTGGATGCTGTAAGTGGCTCTGCATAAGTTCCAGTGTTCTGCAACAAATCCAATGGTGACACCAGGAGGACACTGCACTTCCAGCTGCATATGAAAAGTAACAGAAGTTATGATGTTGTATTGTACAATGCATAACTATGCCACTCATGTGCACACACCTGAACATGCTCTTGGTCATTCTAGGGCAAGGGGGAATTTATGTTAGGGACAGACTCATGTTTCCCTGGGGCCATTTGCAGGGTTGTATTTCCAAGAGGACTCTAAAGAGACGAGGTCATGTTTTACTGTGGGACAAAGAAAAGGCTTAACGAATAACTGCTCAACTGCTTGATGTAAGATTCCACCAGTGTTCCTAACAGGACATACAGCATTGTCACACAGTCAATCCTGAAGGACCTGAGGCAGAGAGGACCTTACATGAATGTACTGGCATTCATGATGCTGTGCTGTAATAAAGGCCTTTGAGCAGGCAGTAGTGGTGCCCGCCTTTAATCCCAGCTCTTAGGAGGCAAAGGCAGGTGGATCTCTGTGAGTTTGAGGTCAGCTTGGTCTACAGAGAGAGTTCCAGGACATCCAGGGCTACACAGAGAAACCCTGTCTTGAAAAAAAAGAAAACAGAAAAAATGTAATAACAGCCTTTGTTTCATTTAGGAGTTTCATGTATAATAGGAGTAGTTAACTTAATAAATCAGACCCAGCAAAACTAAATCTACATGACAACTACAACAAATAAAAAAAACAAAGGAGAAAGAAGCACTGTGAAATTTGTATGAAAGTATTCCCCATTTGATGGGAATGCATTCCAAGACATTGGTTGATGTCTTAAATAGGGATAGTTCTGAACCCAAAATATAGCATACTTTACAATAAACACATGCCTATAGTCATTAAACTCCACCTACAGCAAAGTTATTTATCATTTGGTTGCAGTACAGTACCAACAAGAACCATTAGCTATAGAATAGCTACAATACTCTGTCCTACAATAGAAATTATATGAATGTAGTCTTTCAACTGCCTCTGTGTGTATGCAGTTATACCTTGGATACTCTGCACAAAACAATAAATCAAGATCCAGAATTCACCACATTATTCAGCGTATGAATTGTTTATTTCTGGAACTTGTTATTAATATTTCAGACTATATTTGTCTATAGTAACCAAACCACAAAAAGTAAAACTGCTGATGGAAGTGGGGGAGCTGCTTGCTATAACAGTTAAAAGCTTGCATGTGGAGGTAGACAATAGCACTTTATTAAAGATTTTTAAAACATTGTACACTGTGCTGTTGTACTTAATTACCCATGCATTAAAATTTTATCAAAGCTGTCAGGACTTGCATTGCCAGAGCCATTGTTCATATATACAAATTTGTAACTATACAAAACATTGAATTTGATAGTTCCCTAGAACCAAAACTTTAAAATTGGTGACACTGTAAGACCATAAAGCAAGGCTCAACAATGACAAGAGAATTGAAACAATTCCTTATAAACAGAATTACATCAATTCCTTATATTCTGTCAGGTCACAAAAGAATAAAACTAGAACCAACAATAAGGAAAATTATAGAAATTATACAAATATTTGCACATTTTCAATGAATACTGAATCAGTGAAGAAATCAAGGGAAAAATTGAAACAGTAATAGATTCAAACTAAAACATCAACAAAGCTTCTCAGACCACCAGGACACAGACAGGGAAGTTCTAAGGGAAATATTACAGCTGGGAGAGCTTGCATTAAAAATCAAATGATCCACTCAAAATTCTAAAAAATCAACAGGAAGTCAAATCCAAAGTGAAGCAAATAGCAAGTAATCATACAGATTAATGTAGAGATTGATGAAATAGGGACTAAAAGGAGACACAGAATCAACTAAAATATTTTCTTTTTTGAAAAGAAAAGCAAGTTTGAAAAATCCCTAACTATATGAACCAAAATAAAAAGAGGTCATAAATTAATAAAATTAGAGACAAGAGAGATGTCCAAAACAAAATCCAATGTAATCCAGAAGTACACTTTGGCAATGATAGGAAAACTTTCCAAGCAGCTAAATACATGGCCTGTCAAAATTAAATCCGGAAGATATACATAATTTATGCAGACAAGCAATGAGATTAAAGCAGTCACTACTCCATCTTCTTACTAAAGAAAAGTCTAGGACTGGACAGATGCAGAGTTAAATTCTACTGAACTTTCAAGGACTAGTTAATGTCTTAAACTATTTTTCAAAATAGAGAGTAAATGAAACCATCAAATTGATTGAGCAATGGTAGTACCCTGGTACCACAACCAAATAAAGGCAGAACATAAAAGGAAACTACAGAGCAACTCTCCTGCTCAACAGACAGAAACCACCAGTAAAATATTGGAAGCTGAATTCAAGAACCTGTAAAGAAGATCATACTTTGTGATCCATTTCAGGGATCTAAATGTCCAAGACCATGAGACTAGATAGGTCATGGGCATAGAGGAAAATCTGCTATTATTGTGCTAAAAGAACATATTACAATAGCAACAGATCAGAGCATGACTTGACCCTCATCATTGAGGCTTCTCGAAGTAGATGAGAATTACCATAGACACACACAACTGGACAATATGCAGCAAGTAAGAGACTTTGGAGCACTCAGTCCTAAATGGAATGTCTTCATCAACACCCGGACCTCAAGCCTTAGGATCTATTCTGAAGAGAAGGTGAAAAACTTCTAAGAACCAGAGGTGACGAAAGACTCTCAGGAAACAGCATCTTCTTAGCACAACAGGACAAATGCACATGAACTCACAGAGTCTATGACATATGCAGTTTTCTTTTCAGTAATTTTTTTTCTGAGCCTGCATATATCAAAGGGGAGACATCAAACCACAATACAGAGCATTTGCACTGTAGGTCTAGCTTTGCTATGGGTAGAGCACTCCAGTCTGGCATTCTGTCTACTTTTAAGTCTTGTTCTGCTTTTTTTTTCTTTTTCTTTTGCACAAAGGTGTAGGCTGTGATGGGTACTACAATCAAAAGCCCTTCCCAATTTGTCATCTGGTGAATATGTTGGTACCATTACATACCATGTGACTACAGTCCATCCCTGTAAGTACCTAATCCATCGGACAGTAGCTATTCACAAGACAGACTCAAGTTGTACTTGACCCCCACCTCTCAGTTGAAGAGATAGAGGAAAACTGAAATTCTGTCCTTTGACAGCTTTCTCCCTCCCCACTGGCCAGTTTCTGTTTTGTTCTTTATTGTAGGGTCAGAAATTTCCATCCCATGTAGTATATGGAAAGGAGAAGACCAACCACACTGTAAAGGGCAGATCAGGCACAAGTGTCTATTCCACTCCTGTTCTCTGACCTCTTGCCTTGCACAGGAGCAGCAGAAGCAACAGCAGGTACATCGGAAAGGCCTCTGCATGGTCATGATCTCTCGGCCCAGGCAGTCAGTGACCCGGAGCACGAAGGGTCGGAGGTTCCGATAGGCATTCCTGGTGTAGTCATCTGTGTCTTCAGTAACAATGTATACCATCTGGTCTATGTTGTTTTTGATATCATATCTATTATTAGTTTCAAACCCTGTTATCACTAAAAGTTAGAATGACAAAAGAATTTTAGATTAGAACAAGTCAAACAGGCCTCAAGAAGCCTTTGCTATAAAAAGAAAGGAAGGAGAGAGAGAAAGAGAGAGAGAAGACGAAGACAAAGAAGAAGAAGAAGACAAAGAAGAAGAAGAAGAAGAAGAAGAAGAAGAAGAAGAAGAAGAAGAAGAAGAAGAAGACCAACAACAACAACAACAACATCAACAACAGAACAACAGTTAGGACTGAAAACCAAATAGTTTTTTCTTTAAACTTTCAGATAAAATACAACCATGTGACCCATGAGGGTTGAGTGTTTTAAAAGTTTAGAACAATTGCTAAGTTTAATATTAAATTATTTTTTAAAATTTTTCCCACATAAAAGTAATAGTTAATATAACATTCCTGGAATAAAAGAATCCAGAAAATTTTCATAATAAGACCATTTTAATGAATCACACATCAGACCATGAATTAATTGGCACATGAAATTGATGAAATGACTAGGGACACACTCCTTGCAGATAAGAAAACAAATCCAGAACAACCAAAGCCCTGAGTAGTGCCCAGAGGGGCATGTCCAGCTCCTACACCAAGAAAGAACGAGTAATTCTGCAGGGAAATGGAGAACAGCAGAGCATCACCTGACTGGGATCATTTATCCAGACTTCCATAGCAACAGCCTGTAGGGGAACCTGTAGCCACGGGCGTGGTCAGGCAAACCTGTAGCCAGCCCCTAAGCAGGCATGGCTACAGGTTCCCCTACAACAGCCACAGACTAGAACTCAGGAGTCTTGGTTTGTTTTCTCTGTGCCAATGACTGTAGTGGAGCAGGGGGCTCTAGCTAGCTCAGTTCACCTCCCACCTTCTTGTTCTCATCTGAATAAGATGAACGCAGAGAAAAAAAACTGGACAAATGATACCAGGGACTAACCAGATTAGATGTCAGTCCTTTCTGGGTTTAAAACCATCAGTCTGTGGAGTACTGGTTAATAAAACTACATAGAAAATTCATTTTATTGCTTTTGTGAAGAAAAGTTAATAGAGGATAGTCTTCTGCCTTTGAATCACTAAAAGCTCATGGACATAAAATAAGGCACTAGGTATAAAATAATACAAATTTCCATCTGATTAAAATACTGGTCATTAAAACACAATGCTAGTCAAAACACAATTATACGTACATTCCAGAGGCTCAAAATGCTGAAGAACATGTATGTTGTCCAACTGTGGGAACAGAACAAAAGCAATTAGAAGAAGACAGAAAGCCAGAATTAATTTTAATTATCAAGACAAAAGAACTTGATGACACAGTATTAAAATGTATCAGTCAGGAGCTGGAGAGTTGGCTCTGCCTTAAGGACACCAGCTGCATTTCCAGAGGATGTGTGAGTGGCTCCCGGAACCACATGGTTGCTCACAACCATCTGTAACTCCAGTTCTAGGGAAACAGACATTCGCTTCTGGGTACCAGGATGGAAGTGGTACACAGATACATATGCAGGCGAAATACCCATGTGCATGAAGTAAAATAAAAATAACTAAAATGTATCAATTGATGCCAAATATCTCTTTGAAAATTGAATGGAATGTAAAAATTTAATCAGTTGAGATTATCTCATCTGCATCCAATTAGATGGATATTAGCAGAGGTGTCTAAATAAAAAAATACACTGCCAGGTAGTTCCACATTAAAGATCAGAGAGCAGACTTCATAACTATAATTTTGCTACTGTTATGAATTGTAATGTAAAAGTCTGATATGCAGGATGTATTTTCGCTGTTGTAAATTGAACACAAAACATCGTGATTAATCATAAAACAATATGTAATTATATATTGTGAAATATTTATTTCTAATTACAGATAAATGAAATTTTCTCTTGAAAAAAAAATAGAGAGATGACTGACATCAGGAAAACATCTGTTTTCTACAGTGATAATACATTGAGGAGCCCAGGTACATGTAAATGATCTTAAGTTATTGCTCTATCAGCTTCTCTGAGATGTTCACATAGAAGCAAGTCAGGATGACTTAACACAGACTAGACACAACATGCAATGCTCTTGTGGTTTAGGGAAGGTAAACAAGCCAAAGCAAGCCTGAATAGGATCTCTGCTTCACATTATTTCCTGAGAACCTCTCAAAGTGGTTAAACACATGGATTTGCATTCACTAACACCAGGTTCTTGCCCAAGTGCATACTTTAGTGTGGATGCATGGGGATAGCACCATGTAAGTAGGATCTGGAGTAAGGGGAGGAAACATTCTAAGACAACAGTTCATGAAAAGGAAGGTTAAAAACAACATTAGAGAACTTCTAATTGAACAGTATTGGAATTACTTTGAACAGTTTGATGGCTTTATTATCTGTTCCCATTCAGAGAATCCCAGAAAATATACACCATCTCCTCTGTGACAGACAGATATGAATCAACATAAATACAAATCCTTTATATCATTAGACCATTCATAATCACGATCATAGAAAGCTACCTAAAATGTTGCAATGTATCAAAATTCATTAAATAATGAAAGCTACATGAATGTAAAAAGATTAAAAACAACTGGCTATGGATGATATTGTGTGATTAGTTACAAAAAGACATAGGAGAATATCCTATATATCCATGTTTAATGTAAAACTTATAAACTAATAAGGGGTCATTTCATATAAGATATCAAAATGACTCCTACAATTGTTTGCAGCTCCTTTTGTAAAATACTAAGAAATTAAAATACAGAAATAAAAATAAAAGCTATTACTATGTGGTAAAAATGTCTACAGAAGGGCAAAATGTTCTGATTACTGCTGATGTGGAAGTTTCCTAGGCGCTGTGCCAGGAGGGACTAGACAAACACGTGGAGTCACAGGCAAATACAGGGCTCTGGAAATATTCTAAAGCTTCAGTGAATGGATAAGGGTTCTTGGAAGTCTTAACTAAGTATCACATGACCTGTACTTGCCGTCTCAAACCACCTGACAGGGAAATGATTCAAGACGGTGTAACTAAGAATGTCCAGAGCCAGCATCTGTAGGACATGCCTCTGTGTGCCAGCAGCATGATGGCCATTACAAGTTTATCCACTAAAGCTTCTCACAATGTGACAGTCTGCCCTTGATTAAACCACTTCATGGATGATGAAGACTACAAGGCTAAAGTAAGTAAAGGGCAGAGAGGAGAAAAACCAGGTTTGTTTGACACCACACTTTACTTTTTCATTTGTTTTAAACTCAAATAATTCCTGAAAGGGAAAATAGAATTCATAAAAAATAATACACACAGACTGGAGAGATAGATCAGCTGTTAAGCTGTTAATTCCCAGCACCACATGGTGGCTCACAACCATCTATAATGAGATCTGGTGCCCTCTTCTGGTGTCCAAGCATGCATACAAGCAGAAAAATGTATACATAATAAATAAATCTTTTTTTAAAAAAATACACTGATTTGCTCTCAAAGTAAAAGCAGAAATTGAGATGGCCTTTGCAAAAAATTTCGTATTTCAAAAGGCGATTTCATTAGAGAAATGGAGATTTCTAGTGTGACTCACTACAGTCACTTCTGAAAGCCTTTTAGAATAGTAAATGCATCTACCACTTCCTGTGAATGGATTTTATATTTCATCAAAAGTTTGCTCAAGAAACTTTATCAAGAAATTTCATTCATGTAAAATTCAAATGTTTTCTTATCTAACCCTGTTGATTTTCATGTATTAGCAATGCAACAGTCTATCTTTGATTTTCAACACATAAGCCTAACAAGTCCCTCCTACACAGACAACTAAAAACTGACATATGTCAACTCCAAGAGTGTTTGGTTTAACTACATCAGAACACATAAAATTGGGATGCCTTGCAAAACAGTGTATTTAAATACTTCCTTTTTCAAAAAGAAAACCAGATTTACAAGTTCAGAAGGCATTTCCACAATTAGCTTTATCTTATTTTGGCCAACAAGTTTTCTTTTGCAGATTTTAGATATCATTCGTACAAAAACTGTCTATCACATTAGCTTTTATTTCAGCTCTGTGATTTATATGTACAAGAAATTGGGGAGTCACTGTGCTGTATGAAGGGGACATGGATTTTGGCTTGAAGCAACATCTTATGCTTACTTAGATTTATGTGTTAGGGGGTTCAGGAATGTTAAAGAGTCTGAGATGTTGCAAAGAAGCCATGGGTTGAACATTTTGTGATCCCCATCTCCCCTTGTTCAGTGCTCTCTTCTTCCTTATTTTTTTTCTTGATCCTTATTCTTTTTTTTTTCTTGACATGAACACTTTACTTGTGACTCTCATTTTTATTTTTCTAATTTTCTTGAGAAAGCCATACTGAATAATTTGAAAGTCAGCTTTATTGCTTCAAAACAAACTTATGTATCTTATGAATGCATTATTGTTCTCACTGTTTACCTGTAAATCCACCATCATGGCTCTCAGCAAGCCAGACTCTCCCATCGGTGAACCATCTCCCTAGTCACCCTTGCCAGAATCTTGCTTTCTGTTTATACCCCATGGTCACTCTTCACAGGAAAATGCTTTAGATATATTAGGGTACCTGAGCTAAATATTCCAGACCAGGAGGGCAGCTGGGCATAGGAGTTGGCCCTGGCATCCACATTACCGGAGCAGGCTGATTCGTCATAGGATATTTGCCAGGCTGGTACTGGATAGGATGGGCACCACCAGTGGGATGGTACAAGGGGATAGCACCGGGATGCTGTGGAATATTGTATCCCATCGGCAAGCCTGCAGGTGTAGGGGCAGCTGGTCCACCAGGTCCTGTGTTCTCAAACAGATGAAAGTATTATGTATTATCACTTTAGTGTATTGGAAGTTGTATGATTTTTACATTAGAAAATAAAGATGCAAAATGTTCTTAAAGAAAACATGTCCTTTCATCTCCTAGTGTCTCCCATATATTAACACTGTACTAGGGGGAATATTCACATATTAGTTCTTCTGATCATCTTAAAACTTGTGACATAATTATGCCCTTTGGCACACTGAGAAACAAGGTGGCCTTTTATTGTATGAAGCTTCTCCTTTACTGAGCATAAACACTCTTGAAACCATTCTCTGTGGTTTATCTAGGATGGGTATATCACACACACAAAAGTGTACAACATATAACCTGTGTGCTAGGTTTCTCTCCATCTGTATGTTTTCATCTTCTATCCACATTATTGTACATTCATAGTGTTTTCAGTACTTTATTCTTTTATATGACTGAGCAATATCCTACAATATGGTAGATATCACACTGTATGTTTTCTTTAATTCAAGGATGCTTGGATTATATTCCTGTTGGTGATTATAGTAACACTGTTATCATTACATCCATGTATACATTTGGTATGAACATTTTTTTAAAAAGACACAGGCTTACTTTGTAATCCCAGATGGTCTAAAACTGTAGATGAGGTTGGTTTTACACTTATAGAGATCCACCTGCCTCTGTTTTCCTCCTGAGTGCTGGAATTAAAGGTAGATGCACTAGCAATTTTTCTTGGGCCAGAGATTGAATAATTTACTGAAAGAAACTAGCTGGTATGTGGCAAAAGGAGAATTCAAACATTCTGACTACTTTGGTACTCTTTTTATACCATTCTTTTAAGTTCGCATACAATGTGGTTTCATTAGGGCATTTTCACACACATGCCATTCCATTTTGTTCTTAGTCATCTTTTCCCTTCTCTATGATTCTCTGTAGATGGAGTTTCTTTCCAGCTTGATCCCACAGCTGATTAGCCACAAATAAACACATTTAAGACTGATATTAATTTATAAACTGTTAGATGATGTCTAGGCTTCTTATTGGCTAACTCTGTCTTAATTATTAACTGATTTCTCTTAATCTATATATTGCCATGAGGATGTGGCTTACCCATAATCCAGCATGTTACTCCTTGGGCAGCATGGCATCCCATCACAGCCCTCTCTGTCCTCCACCCCCAGCCTTCTCCTGGTCTGGTAGCCCTGCCTATCCTTCCTGTCTGGCCACTGGCCAATCAGTGTTTTATTCAGCAATCAATAAGAGAAACATATATACAGAAGAACATCCCCCATAACTCCCCCATCCCTTCTTCTTCCCTTACAGTAAACCCCCTCTCCAAATCATCTGCTTTTCTGTTTTTTGCATCTTATATGCATTCGATTATACTACATCAGTCCTCCTCTCCATTCCTCTGTTGATGGATATCTAGGTTAGTTTCAATGTTGATGGATATCTAGGCAAGTGCCTCTGTGGCATTGTTTCTTAGAGTTCTTCAGGTACATAACCAGGAATGACATGGCAGTTCTGTTCACCTTTCTTAGAAAGTTCCATGGTGATTTCTATCATGGCTGCCTGAATTTACATGTTCGGACGACCAGCAGTAAATGAAGACTTCTCTACATTCTCTCCAACATTTGCTCTTCTCTTCTCTTCTCTTCTCTTCTCTTCTCTTCTCTTCTCTTCTCTTCTCTTCTCTTCTCTTCTCTTCTCTTCTCTTCTCTTCTCTTCTCTTCTCTTCTCTTCTCTTCTCTTCTCTTCTCTTCTCTTCTCTTCTCTTCTCTTCTCTTCTCTTCTCTTCTCTTCTCTTCTCTTCTCTTCTCTTCTCTTCTCTTCTCTCTCACTCTCTCTCTCTGTCTCTGTCTGTCTCTCTCTCTCTCTCTCTCTCTCTCTCTCTCTCTTTCTCTCTCTAAAAAGTTAATGGCCATTTTGACTGGAGTAAAACAGAATACCAATGAAGTCTACATTGCATATCCCTGAACCTAAGGATGTTGAACACCTTTTGAAATATTTTTAGGGGCTACTCAGATGCCTAAGTGCATAAAACAACTTGCTGTACAAGTCTGACTCGAGTTCAATCCCAAGAACCCAGTGAAAAGAGAAACAACTTCCAAAGTTGGTCTTTGACCTCCACACTCACTCTGACCCTTGTACCCACTGCCCCCCATAAAGAAATTTTAAAAGTGTTTTGGATTGTTTGCATTTACTCTTCTGAACTGTCCACTCATGTCATTAGCTCATGCACTCACTAGGCTTTTGTTCCTTTTTAATTACTCTAGATATTAGCTCTCTGTTGGATGTGCGTATTCTGCTCTTTGTGGCCTCTGTTGTGCAGAAACTTTTCAATTTCATGTGATCCCTCCTGTCAATTCTTGGGAGTGTTTCCTGTGATAGTGAAGTCCTTCCCAGGAATGTGTTGCCCATGCCTTTTATCTTAAGTGTTTTTCTTCAGCAGTTTCACAGACAACTCTGACCCATGTGTGTGTTTGTGTGTGTGTTTGTGTGTGTGTGTGTGTGTGTGTGTGTGTGTGTGTGTGTAGGGTGAGAGATACAGATCTAATTGCATTTGTTTTCCTATCTTCATTTGTTGAAAGAGGTTGTCTCCACTCCTTCCAAACACAATGAATGATTGTGACTTTGCTATTTTAGTGGCTGTATCTTTGGATTTATCGCTAGATTCTCTTCTACTGGCTTATGTGGTGGCTAATCATTGGTTGTCTACTTGACACACTTGGTAAGAGGAAACTTTTCCTGAAGAATTGCCTCCATGAGACTGGCTTGTGGGTATCTGTGGTCCATTTTCTTGGTTGTGATGTGGAATGGCCCAGGCCATTGTGAACAGTGCCATCCTTGGGATGGTAGACCTGGGTCCTATTGGGCTTTATACATGGAAGGTAGCTTTGCGATCCAGAGGAAAAAAGTAGTATTCCCTTAATGTCTCTGTTTTAATTTCTGCCTTGAGCTCCTTCCCTGCCTTCCCATCTATAATGGAATAATGGACTGTGACCTATAAAGTGAAATAAGCCCTTTCTCTGTCCATGTTAGTTTTGGTCAGTGTTTTATCTCAGCAATACACAGAAAATAGAACCATCTGCATGACTTGTTTTTGCTATTAAAATCCAATTTTGTGACTGCAGGTCTTTAATACAATTTAAGATTATGCATTGTGATATTTCCATCATTGTTTTTTTCTGTCTTGGAAAATTTAGGCTGCTTTGAAAGTTTTGCTTCTGTGGACATTTTAGGATTATGTGTTCTAGTTTTATGAAAAATACATTGAGGTTTTGCTGGGAATTGTGTTCAATCTGAAAATCATTTTCAACAATTTAACCATATTTACAATTTCAGCTGCCAATTCATGGTCACCAGAAGTCTTGTGCCTTCTTCTGCTTCTTTCTTTAGTGTTTTCACTGTTTGTAACCTTCAAGGTCAAGGGTTTTATTCTTATGTGTTTTATTATATTGAAGCCACTGTGAATGGAATTCTCCTGGAAAGCTGTAATTGTTCTATAGTAAAGCAACTGTTTTTATGCTGTTTTTACATCCTTCTACTTTGCTGAAAATGTTTATTAGGTCTGAGTGCTTCCTGATGAAGGTCTTAGGATCTTTTAAGTATGTAATCATGTTATCTGCAAATAAGAGTAAGTAGATTTAGCCAATTTGTTTTTGTAGTCCTTGTATTTCTTTCTCTTATTTTACTACTCTAGATAAGAGTTCAAGTGCTATGCTAAGTAAGATGGAGAGAGTAGGCACCTTTGTTTCACATGAGAAAACACACTCGTTTTTTTCCTGTTTAGATTAATGTACATTTTAGAAGGGATCTATATATCCATTGTTGTATTGAGGTGTTTCTTCTATTTGTAGTTTCTTTAGGGATTTTATCAAGAAGGGATGTTGGACTGTCAAAGCCCTTTTCTGCATCTATATTTCATTATTTAACATTTGCTGTACTCTTAGCTACGTTACATCACGATCCCTACTGCATAATAAGCAACTATGGAATCATAAGCAAAATGGGAACACTCACTAGGGGATCCTGTTGAGGGCCTTGGGTCTAGCAACTCTAGTGCTAACAGCTATTTCAGTCCTTAAGTTACACCCACACACATCCTTAGTCATAGAAGCAATGTAGTCTAGGATTAACCACTGCTAAGAAAAATCAGTCAGTACAAGAAAGACACAATCTCAGAGCCTGAATAATTTTCTTTAAACAAAAAATAAAGAAAAGCTAGTATTTTTTTTTGCATAACCAGTTCTGTAGAGGCTGAAAGCCCTTGTGGTATAGACACTAAGGGAGAGTAGCTTTTTAAGCCAAAGGAATCTGTGACATTCCAATCTGTAATAAAAAGCTTATTAATAAAGTCATAAATTACAAAATCAATTCTCTAGTATTATCTCAAAAACACAGCTATGAGGTAAACATTATTTAGGAAACTTTCATCATATGAGCTTCAAAGACCAGCAGCTATGACTGAGGCTAAAAACAAATAGAGCTACACACACATTACCATCTTTGGTATTTTGGGGGCATATTCATGCTAGTAAGAAAAGCAAAGGTTATTATAAAAAAGTAAATGATGAAATCACAGAAAGATGAACAGTGTGCTAAGGTATGAGAATTGTGGCCATAAATACATGCAGACAAATGAACTATGATGTAAGTTCTGACTCATTCAACCTGATCCTGCCTGGGGAGGAAAGGTTTTATGAGAACATAGACCAGAAGAACTGTACAAAGGGAAAAAAAGAACTGTACAAAGGGGGCTTAGCTCGGCAGAAGTAAGGACTGTTTGCGGAGTGTTGGCAGACTAGGCTGGGAATAAGGTAGGTAAGAATATGGGCAAAACTTATGCTTTTCCATCTAGAGCCTGAAGTTTGTGCCAACAGAATGGAGAGTGGATGTTTCCATTTGTAAGCCTTACCATACAAGATTTCTTAAGGCAGGAGGTGCTTGCCAGAGGACAGATGTAAGGCAAGGAAGCTGAATTGTGACAAAGAGAGAATAAAACCAAGAAATCATTAAAGCTGACGTTTAAAAAGTGTGTTGACTTGGTAGTGGACTGGTTATTAAGGAAAGATTCTAAAGGTTCAGCTTTGTGCTCCCACATGCTTCCAACATGTGGAAAACAGAGTACAATTTTGAGAGTAAGGTGTCAAAGTTGGTTTGATGATTATGTTTGAGAACCTGTAGTTATGCAGAGAACATGGTCTACAGGAAGTCGCAGTTGTAAATCTAAATTATAACATGATGGCATGGATCAGAATGGGATTTACAAGTACTTTAAAGAACAAAATACTAAGCTGGAGGGAAGCAGAGGCAGGTGGATCTCTCTGAGTTCCAGGTCATTGTGGTCTACAGAGCTAGGGATGTTACACAGAGAAATCCTGTCTCAAAATAAAACAAAAAAAAAATAGAATACAAAATTAGTGGGATTGTCCAGATCACTTTATGAGTGACAGTGGAAGGCAATGAGGGGAGCCAGGAGGGACAAAAGAGAATGCCAAAGAACTCTTGGAAAAGTAACTTTTAAGGATAAAGATAAGCTCTTGGTAGACTGATAGTATAATGCTGGAGAGTGGTATTTAAAAAATGCTTTTAAATCAGAACTAAATGAGAGTAAAAGTGAGTAGCTAGAGAAGAAGAATGAGGGCCACTTTGATTCTATTATGAAGAATGAACTTTAATTCCCAAATGAACTATTGTAAGAGAACCCACCTGAACTAGAAGTCAGTGATCCTTCCTCAGATTCTCAAAACCCCCATTTAAAGAATACCGAACATTATATTATGAAAATGAGCTAACAGCCATATCTTGTACTTTTAATATAAAAGCATCTGAAGTAGTAAAATTTCAGGATCAATAGCCAGAAGAAAAGTAGAATTTATGTTAAGGACTTATTTAATATTATGATTAAATTTTATAACTGTACATTAATTTATATAAATGAGTGATTTTTATTATAAGGATATAATACTCCATGTTAAAAGTGAAGAAGAAAAAATGGTAAAATTATGTGTAAGAAACTATCATACTATGCTTCCATCCCAGTTGGAAATTGCCCTCAAGGGTTTTGACTTTTTCTGCAGGAAAACAAACTGAAACAAAACAATCTATGTTTAACTTTGTGTAACCACAAGGCCTCACATGAATTTACAGAGAACTCTAGTATGAAGCCGCCTACCAATTGCAGTGTGAGAAACTGCCTATGGCATTTTTATTCTTAATAACCCTTAATATTGCTATTGTTTTTTATTTCAAGAAATCATCCCATTTTTCTTCTCAAATGGGTGCCATATAACAATGTTTTTCTTTTCTTGGCTATTCTTTCAATAAACAATACTGAACAACATTGTTTTGGGTTGGAGAAAGCATTTGGAACTGTAATGGGAATTATAATTAAATTTGAATTTAAATAATTTCATTAAACCAAATTTTTGCAAGTATATTATTTCTGTGAGTTATAAGAACACAATTCATGTCATAAAAATGGACACTTCCCTAATTTGTTGGTCATGCGGTACCAGAGGCACCCAAAACAAGATAGGTTATTGCCATTGCTCTTGGTTCCACAACTGAACTTGATGGTGCAATCTTATTGCTCAAAATACAAACCATACACTTTGGATATAGACATAGACACAGAAATCTAGCTGGAGCTGAACTGGAAGCATCTTCCTTGATGGTTGGTGTTCATACTGCTGGTTTTCATGCTTCCCTGCTGAGACAGGGAGGCCAGCAATTGTATTACCCAGCAATGCACCCTGGAAGTGACAATACTGATTTTTCCAGGAAAAATGTGCCCACTGGTAAAACAGAGGCATGGTTATGATGAGGGATAAGGAGGCATGATGCAAAAAGGCATCTTGTTGACAGTACAGCTGTTGCATTCATGAACCAACTGCACCTGTAGCTACCTGCTCATGAGACTGCACCCTTCCCCGAGGAATTATTAGCAGCTAATGTTTGCTGGGAAAGAAGGTATCATGTTTTTTTTGTGCACACACACCATAGACAAGAGAGACAGAGACAGTGAGACAGAGACAGATGAGAGAGAGAGAGAGAAAGAGAGAGAGAGAGAGAGAGAGAGAGAGGAGAAAAAAGATCTAAGTAGGAGGGTACTTCCAGGGAAGAAAAAGTTTCAACAGAAGAGGAAGGGGTAAAAGAGTAACAAGGATGAAAACAAACGAGATTCACCATGTTCACCAGATTCACAGGTGTGAAATTATCAACCGGTTTTAAAGGATATGGTCTAGCCACTAGACTGCGATCCCAGTGACTCTTCAAAGGTAGTGACAATTCATTAGCAGTGTTTTTGGCAATGGATACATTTTAAACACACCTGTTTAATTTAAAGGCTGTCTCCTGGGACTGAACAGGGCCTTCATGTGCTAGACAAGACTCTATCAATGAGCTAAATTCCCAACCCCACCTATTTTTGAAATAGAGAAAAACAAGTACTTTCCATAGTGAACAGAACCCAATTTTAACAATGTTTACTTCCTGGAAATGGTGTAGTTACTTCCTAAAACGACTGAACTATCTAAAATTTACTCCACTACTGTGTGAGAACCCTTCCTCCTGAGTCTCCACCAACAGTCTTAAGACACAAACTATATATGCCACAGTGCCTTAGTCAGTGTCCACAGCTATGCCCTTCTAACTCTCTGTCACCTCCTGCCATTTACCAGAGCTTAGTAAACACTTGTGTAAGACATAGGGAATTTTTCTGCTATACCTATTTCCATTTCTCTTTAATGATCAAATTTTTATATAGCAAAGCCCGCTTTAACCAATCACAGCTCCCCTCCAACACCTAGTAGGACCAGACAGTAGCATCTTCTGTGTTCCCACAAGGTTCTCGTCATCTGTCCACTAGGAACATACAGAGTGTTATCCCCACTTTTACAACTTCCATCCTCAGTGCCCTCCAAAGCACAGCCTTGCTATGGTGTTCTGGAGGAGGATTGTTCTTGAAAGTTTACCTTACCTGGCACAAAATGAGAATTGTAGTCAGGTGGGACATCAGATACTGCAGTTGGTGATATTGTCTGATTTTCCATTTCTCCTGTAGGCTGCTCGGGGGCTGTGGGGACCACACCTTCAGAAAGAGAGGAACACGGTAAGTGATAACATGATTGCAAAATCTACTTGTCCCTCTTGTAAGCACCAGAAAATATACTCATATTTCTTATGAAGCTGCCTGTTAATAAATTTTGTGAATTTTAGATTGAACATAGTTTTGAAAATGAGACGAAGCAACATACTGTGCTTGTGCCTGCAGTAGAAGCTTTGATGGTCCTGTTTCAGCTGGCCACCTGCTGACTCTCACCTACAGAGTTAATCCCTCTTTCTTTCTCTGTTATGTGATTCTTTCTCTATTATGTGAGAAACACTGGAAATACAAAGCTGATTCTTCATAGTCTTTTGGAAGTGTGTCTAAATTCAAAACATGAAATAAATAAATTCTCACTAGCTAAAAAACTAATATAGTCAGGAACACATCTGTCTACGTTTGTAGTGACTCGAATTTTTACTGCATCTTACCTAAAAGCCGCTTGGTCACAGTGTCACGGTTGTTGCCGCAAGGGCAGTACAGAAACCACTTCATGGTGTTATACTTTATCTTGGTGACATTAAAGAGAAATTCTTACTTAACTCACTATAAGGAAGGCTCTCAATTTCTTAAACAAATGGTTGAATTGTATATCAGAGAAAACAAAAGACTATAACTATGATGTTTCCCTTCTTATTCCATTTTCTAAAAAGGCAGAGTCAACATTTCACTCTATGGCATCCAGGCCAAAGGCCACAGCTCTTTCTGTATTTGCTCTCCCATCTTCCTTTTGCTTAGGTTCTTCTCAACATTTAGAGACCTTTTAGGCCTATGTGCAAACATGAGCTGCTTTTACTCCTTTTCTTGTAGAGGGTTAATATGTACAAATGAACACACACACACACACACACACACACACACACACACACACATATATATGCTAACTAGTCAAATATTTCAGAATAAAAATTCATCCCTCCAAAGAAAGCAATCATGTAATTCACATGTGAAGTCAAAGCATTAAAAAATAACAAATAATGGGGCTGGAGTGAGTTCTCAGCAACTAAGAGTGGCTATTTCTTTTTTCAGAGGTCCCAGGTTCAGATCCCAGCACCCCCATGAGGTTGCTCACAACTTCTTGTGCCACCGACTTCATGGGGATCAGACACATATGGCCTCCATGAGCATTAGAACCCACATGGGCAAAACAAAACACACACACACACACACACACACACACACACACACACATAAAATAATAAGATAAATCTTAGGAAATTATTAAAATTGTACCTGACATTTTTATGAATTCCTGTTATACCTGAAAAAGAAAATATGTTAATGCATTTATGTAGACAAATATAATCTATGTATATAACAACAGAGATATTAGAAAGTTAACAAATTCATAGAAACCAAACAACTCACTACTGAGTAAAAAATCAAGACAAGAATCAAGGAAAAAATTTAACCCCTTTTAGAATTGAATGAAAATGAAAACACAACATATGTAAACCTATGGGACACAACAAGCAAGATTATAGTACTAAGTGGTTACATTTTTAAAAAGCCAGAAACCCTGGAAAAGTTTAATATTAATATCTTAGTGACACACCTACATGCTCTAGAAAAAAACAATAAGAAGTAGTACCCCAAAAGAGTAGAAAGCAAGAAATAATCAAACCCAGGGCTGAAATCAATGACTAGAAATAAAGAAAAAATATACAAAGAATTGATTAAGTGAAGATTTGGATTTTGGGGAAAATCAACAAGATTCACAAATCAATAGCCAAATTAATTAAAAGAAAAAGAGAGAAGTTACAAACAATCAGAGAGGAAGAGGGTTGATACAACAGAAACAGGAAATTCAGAGAATCACAAAAGACATATTTTAAAAATCCGTATTCCTTCAAACTGGAATACATCAAACTGGAATTTCTTGATATATACAACCTACCAAAGTTAAATCAAGATGAAATAAATTATTTAAACGGATCTATAACCCCTAGTGAAATAGAAGTAGCAATTAAAAATCTTCCAGATAATCCAAAACCAGCAAAAGAAGAAAAACAAAGCCAGACTGATTCAGTGCAAAATACAACCAAACTCTCAAAAAACACACTATTACAAAAAATACAAACTGATGGAAGACTTCCTAATTATTTTTATGAAGCTACTACTATCTTGATATTAAAACACAACAAGAGCTGGAAAAATAAATAAATTATAGACACAGATGTAAAAATTCCTTATAAACATAGATGTAAAAATTCTCATAAAATACTTGCATATAGAATTGAAGAAAACACCAGCAAGATTATCCACCATGACCAAATTGGCTTCAGCCCAGAGATTCAGGGAGCCTCAATAAATATAAATGAGTAAATGTAATCCACCATAATATAAAAAAATGCATGTGATAATCTCATTAGATGCAGAAAAGGTCTTTGACAAAATTCAATAATCTTTTATGATTAAATTTCTGAAAACACTGATAGGTTGGTTTCCATAAACCTCTACTCTGATTGGTTGGTTTTTATAAGTCCTTACTCTGATTGGTTGGCCATACTGATATTGATGGCCACCTAGAATAATATCAATTCAGAGCCAGTGGATAGCAATTTCTGAATGGCATGTTTATTTCCTTTTCTTTTACATATAGCTATCCTGAAATAAAAGTCACTTTAAAAGATCCTTTGCAGAAAGGGGGATGAAAAATTAATAGTGCAAATTTTAGTATTGTTCTTATAATGTGTTTCCTCAAGAAGAATTGGCTTCTTCTTCAATCAAAGAATTCTGGCTCTACAAGCTGACTACTGTACTGGCTAGTTTTATACCAAACTGACACAAGCTGGAGTTATTTGGGAAGAGGGAACCTCAAATGAGAAAATCGCCTCCACCAGGGTGGCCTATGGTGCATCTTAATTGATGATTGATGTGGAAGACCCCAGATCACTGTAGGTGGTGCCACCCCAGGCAAGAAAATTTTAGACTGAGCAAACCTTGGGAGCAAGCAAGTAAGTAACACTCTCTGTGGTCTCTACATTGGTGCTTGCCTCCAGGTCCAAGCCATGACTTCTCTCAGCCATGGACTGTGATCTGAAAATATAAGCTGATATAAACCCCTCCCAACACCATAAAACTTTAGAAATAAACTAAGATAATGAGATAAAGCAAAGTGTGCACACACATCATCTCACAGGATGTAGGTGCCCTTTCTTTTCCCTTCCCTAGCAACTAAGGCCTTTTCTCATCAACCTAGAGTCTCTTTTTTTTTCTTACAAAATTTTGCAATACTTTTTAGCCAAAATATTATGTAAGCAGATAATTTCCAGTTGGTACAAGCAAGAATTATGTCATCATAATCTTCCCTTAATAGTCAGTAAATTGTTTCAGATGTTCTGTCTGTCGGTAGCAGCGAAGCACACCATACATGGAGACTGACTTCTCTCTTCATTTTCTCTGGAAACTAGTCCTGGAAGCTGAACCACATCTCCACAGTTTAGTGCCCTAAGGTCCAGAAAATCCTTCTGAAGCCTTGGCATGTGGGAGCATATGATTCACACAGGGTATCTAGGGCTGACTGGAGCATAACAGAGAAAGAAAGGAGTCATGACACAAAGCCTGGTAGGGCAAGGATTCCCTTCCTTGCAAGGCAGCTTCTACTTCAAATAGCATCTGGCAGTAACAGAATGCCTATTAAATATCACACATTCTAACCTACCTATGCTGTCTTTCTATTCTTTTTATATAATTTATTTATTTTTATTTTATGTACATTGGTGTTTTGCCTGAATGTATGTCTGTATGTGGTGTCAGATCCCTGGAACTGGAGTTACAGTTTTGAACTACCATGTCAGCGCTGGGAGTTGAATCTGGGCCCTTTGGAGGAGCAGCCAGTGTTCTTAACCACTGAGCCATCTCTCCAGCCTCTTTCTTTCCTTATACATAAGTTTTGTGAAACTATAATGTAAGCAAGGTGAGTTTCTGTTGTAGGATATTTATACAGTATGAAATTGCATTGTTGTGACTGGTATAATAAAAAGCTAAATGACCGATAGCTAGACAGGAAGTATAGATGGGATTTCCAGGGAAAGAGAGTAAGAGTAAGAGATGATTGAGGCACAGGGAGACACCAATGAAAAATGAAGGGAGTTGGACATATAGAATGAAAGACAGGTAAAAGCCACATGGTAAAACATAGATTAATAAAAGCAGATTAAAGTCATTTAAGTTACAAGAGCTAGTGGGAAAAGCCTAAGCTAAGGCCGAGCTTTCATAATTAATAGGAAGTCTCTGTTTTATTATTTGTGAGCTAGCAGCCCAAATAAAAGTCAGATTACAATTTTCAGTTGGCACAAGCAAGAATTCTGTCTTAATCCTGGAATAGTCAGTGAATTAATAGACATATTCCTGCCACTCAGCAGCAGCTAAGCAGCCTGAGACACTGACACTGTAGCCTGCTCTTAAGTTTCACTTCTAAAAAATCTGACATAATGTGGTATCCCACAAAACCAGAAGTTCTAGCACATACATGGAGATTAGAAACTTCAGCCACAAGACCCAAGATGGTCAGAAATTCACAGTGAAGCACTGACTGGAATCTGTGCTGATCTCTGGGATGGAGGTGTTTGCTCCATAAGAATCTCCAGGCAGAGGCAGAGGCAGAGGCAGAGAGGCAGAGAGGCAGAGAGGCAGAGAGGCAGAGAGGCAGAGAGGCAGAGAGGCAGAGAGGCAGAGAGGCAGAGAGGCAGAGAGGCAGAGAGGCAGAGAGGCAGAGAGGCAGAGAGGCAGAGAGGCAGAGAGGCAGAGAGAGAGGCAGAGAGAGAGGCAGAGAGAGAGGCAGAGAG